AGCTAAGTCTCGTGGGACATAAGCCAGAATCGATCCCCGGCGGCGATCGGTTCACAATGCATGCCGGTTAGATTTGTGTCTGACTTGATCCCAACTTGCTCTGACGTCATGCACAGGTGGGCACCGATAACGTCACGAGAGCCAGGCGCCGTAGTTGCTCTCCACCGACTGCATGACCCAAAGTATGATGGGAAACGCCTGGCTGTCGCCGGATCAAAGAGCTGATTGGCTCCTAGATTTGACAACAAACACCACGTTTTGTAGAAAATCCTAATTTTCCGTTTAATTGTAATATTTAATGCTCGATTGTTGGCTGTTATAATTTCATGTTCTGCGTCGAAGGTTTAATCTGTGATTGATAATAATAAAGCTTATTTATACAACACAAAGCGAGCATCAAAGTGTTTCACAGGCACACATAAAAATAACAAATGACAGCATACAATACAGACACACGCACATTTCCACATAAATATATATGTATAAACACATGAATAAATACGATTGAGGTCTATAAACTACAAGCAGCCTACAGATCGGATCTAACAGGAAGTAACTGTTTCCGTGACTTCCTGTTTATTCTTTGACGGATGCTGAAAACTGTCCGACTTGACCTCAGTTTATTTGACCCCCTGCTGCTGCTGCAGCTCATCTGAACGAGCCTGTTAAGACTTCAGACATTCCCAGCAATGGGAGGTTTGGTGACAGTTGTGCCCTCATCTTTACAGAGACCTGGCTCCATAGTAATTAGCATCAGCGATTAGCATAAGCTAATTGAAAGGGTAACAGCCATCATGAAAGGTAGTTTAAAAACAGTAACAGCTCTGAGGTTTATTTAGATGACTTATTTAGGTTACTCTTTAGAAAGAAGTCGGCACGCCAAAGGCCCTTTTTCTACTTCTCTGGAATAACCTCCCTCTGGACATCAGGCAGTCTGATTCTGTTGAGGGTTTCTGTTATACAAGACCAAGCTGACAACCCTGATGACATTACATTACATTACAGTCATTTAGCAGATGCTTTTATCCAAAGCGACTTACAATAAGTGTATTCAACATAGGCATTCAAGAAAAGTACTAGTCACCATAAGTCATAAGTGCATCTCCTTTTTTAAACAAGCATGTAAGAGCATAAACCAGAGCAAAATCACAGAAACAAACTAAACCAGAGCAAAATCACAGAAACAAACTAAACCAGAGCAAAAGTACAGCGCAGAAACAAACTAATATGAATACAATAGATGCTAATAAATGCTAATACAATACAATAAGTGCTAAGTGGAAGGCTCCTTGAAGAGGTGAGTTTTCAGCCTGCGCCGAAAGATGATCTGCTGTCCTGACATCAGTGGGGAGTTCATCCCACCCCTCCCCCGCCCCAAAGCCACAGCCGACATTAGACTGCCCCCTCAGGAGTAGCAGTAGCAGTGGAGTAATGACACAAAAATAAAGTAAAATATCAATACACTGAATACACAACATTCAAATGTGAAGAACAAGTTGCATTGTCTGGCCTGTAAATATCCTCTCTTTATTCAATACTGTTTTTATTGACAAATATCGTTTCCAGTCAATCAGAAGCACATCAGTATTTCCATGGTGGCAGTTATATTCCATACAAGTGTAATTGACACAAGGGTGTGGTTGTCGTTTGAGCCTCTGACACCTCAAGGACTGGAGTTTCAATGCTGCACAAAAAGAGTACGAACATGTTAGAAGTCATCCTACACAGCTGGACTGATGTGTTTTGAAGGCAGATCGCATCAGATTATGTCTCAACATGTTTGCCTTGCAGCTGAGCACACATTCAATACTGAAAATTGGATCAGTGCTTCCTTCACAATGTTATCAGCACGAAATATAGTCATGGATCTCTTAAATTACATTATTCATAAAACACTCAAAAATAATGTTGCCCCTATAACAGTTTGTTTGTCAAAATAGTCTTAACTCAAGTTCCACTGGCTCTCTTTTCTAAACTTTGAACCACATCTTGTGGTCTATAGCAGGGAATGGATTTTACTTAGTTGTCTCAGAGTTGAGTCAAGACATGTTCCATTCCATTTCCATAAAAGTAATCAAATAAATATGTACTGTATGTGATTATTCACAGAATATCCACCATCAATTACAGTAAATAACCTCCAGTCAAATTCCTCAATGTTGAAGATGATTGCATTAAAGTACAATTGTATGATACAAATATTTACAGTCAAATTACTAAATCAGGTTTCACTCATGTATTGAAGACAGAGTTTGACACATGTACCTTAAAATCCCACATCACCATGGCTCCATCCAGACCCACACTGCTATACTTCTGCACTTTGGCTTTCTCCCCAGATACAACACACAGTTGACTGCAAGACACAACACAACACATGCACACACAGTTTACATAAAAACAACAATAACAGTGATTTCTGGAGACACCCAGAGCTCACACGCACAGCAGCAAAATACATATACTGTACTTACCTGGGAGAAGTATATATATGCTGATTCATGTCTATTAGATGTACAAACCAAAGACCCCTCACTCTTTGGAGAATTTATAAGTGAGACTGACTGCTCTCTTAAGTTACCTGTAGCATTGATAGACAGTGCATACAGTACCTCCAGCAAGGCCACAACGTCTATAAAGTCATAAAGTAGTTCAAATAAAAGAAAAGGTCTAATTTGCATGTGGGTTCAGATCTGCATCACAATGCACAACATAAACATAGAGCAAGACAACCATGCTGAGTGGCTGATGGTTTTTGGAGAAATCCCACCTCCTACCCGGGAATATTACGGATGAACTGTGCAACATTTCAAGAGTCAGATTCATGACCGTTCAGTCATCACCATTTGAAATGTATATTGGCAAAATGTAATACAACTTTGCAGGTTTAATGTGACATATACATTTGGTAAAAATGACATGCATTCAAGGTGAATGGAGATTTATGTCAAAAAGATATGTCTACAAGAACCAGTTAAAGGGAACCTTGCTGGTTTTCAACCAGCCTTCTATTGTTAGGGTTAGGGTTAGGATGTGATGAACGATGTTCAGCTTCTCTCCGTGTTAATATCGTCCCTTTCCTTTTAAATAATCCGTATGGCATGTTTAAAAAGAAATGTAAAACTTTTTTGGGCTCATCCAAATATGTTGTATCAAGTTTGGAGAAGACATGAAATTTGTAGGAGTGATAAAAACTGCTTTGCAAAAAAATATTGTAATGGCAGAAAATCTGAAATTTTGCTTTTTAACTTGATGCTTCAGGAGATATAGCCAAACCACAATGCATGGTGCTGCTATTGGATCCACATCAACAGGTTTCTACTGGTGTTTGTAGTCCAGTACCTCCGCCGTAGAGGTAATGATGCCAACTGAAATGGAAGCAGCAGTGACCCTTACGTGATGCTGTTCTGGTGAAGGGTGCCCAGCTCGTTGCTGTCCTCATCAGTGGCCCTCTTGTCCAAGTTCTGGAAATGTTGCATGGCAGTAATGCCGCCCTTGGAGGTCTGCTTGGGGATGTCCAGCTTCTTCACAAACTCAAGAGCACCTGGACCCTTATAGGTGAACTGGCAAGGGCAACAGTCATGACCCTGACAGAAAAGAGATCACATTAAGGATATAAAAGCAATCATATCAAAATTCAAGTTAATTATCACTGAAAATGTTTACTACAAATTCTTCATCTCTATAAGGATTGAAAATATCAGAACATAAAACTAAAGGGGAAAATGTAAGCTAGTAAACCAAGCACAGAGAAGCTCTGATAATAACCCACACAGAGGGAGGTAGACATGACTCCTCTATATCTGTACATAGACAACAGTTAGATGATGATATATTTATAGTTTGAATGTCATTATAGAAAACCTTTAAAGCTGCAATAATATATTTTTTTGCCCCAATGAAAGCAATGGGAAAAAGCTGAAAGAACAATATTAACACATTATCATCTCATAAAGTGAATATAATGCTTTAGCAACAGTTGCCTATTTACTCATCCAGCAGACCAGAATTAGGATATCTGTCTCTTTAGCTGCTTAATGCTCCACCACATTCACTAGCTCGTCTCTAACTGTGTATGACTGCTATTTGCTGCTGAGAAGGTGTACAGTGAGTTTACCAGAGCTGTTCACTGAAAACAGCTGCTGCTGCTGGAAACAAGGTTTGTGGTTAAAAACCAAAGCAATGCCAAAGGTTCTGTATAGAGGGGAACTGCAGAGTTGATGCTATTTCTCACCAGGGTTCATCATTATGAGGGACTAACTTCTCATTGAACAAAATCATTTCATCCATTATTAATACAAACATATTGATTAATGCAGCTTTAAATGAGGTGCAGCGAGTAGAGTAGTTGATCATTCTTGGAGTTGCTGGACACACACACACACGCACACACACACACATACACACAGAGCAGGTGATAGTTACCGCAGCAACAAGCTCAGTGGGGCTGGCATAGAGCACACTCAGAAGTGGCAGACGGTTGGTGGTCAGCTGGGTGACCCTGGATGGACAGATGTCAGAAAGGTGATATAATATCAAAAGACACGCATGACATTTCATTATTTACAGAATCATATATGAAACAACAGTTATGAAAACATAACAAACAGAGAAACAAAAACAGTCTTTCAGAAGCCATGAAGTGCTGCTGGCCTGGTGAGTTTGCTAAAAAAAAAATCTGATTTATATTGGAATGGAATCTAGTCTAGATTTATGTTGGATGTCTTATCTAGTCACTGATCCACTTAATAAAAACATAGATACGTCATCTCCATTTAAGCTGAATATAAATACTGATCATACTGATGGAATAAGTGTGTGGCAGCTGAACTCACTCCTTCCCCTGGGCGGCATCGACCACAGTGATGCTGCTGTTGTGGGCCACCCAGGCCAGCTGGTCTCCACTGGGGGAGAAGGAGACACTGTGCACCCAGCCTCCACAGTCCTTATGCTCCAGCAGCACCTCCCCAAAAGGCATTTTGGCCCCCCAGGCAGTAGGTCCAGGCTTGTCCTCGATGTCCTTGATGTAGGCCGAGAAAACCCTGAGGAGCATAGTATAGAGTTCTGCTATAGTTTGTTAGCTTTGGGACCCAATGTTGTGTTGCTTAATCTGTACAGTTGGACGAGAAAAAATGGCAAAAACATCATTAAATACTATAAATTGAATTAAAGCTCAATCAATTATAACAACTCCAAATACATGTTTTTGCTCTTGATGTGAAAAAAGGTAACTGTTTGCTCACAAGTTTACCAATAAAACTTTTTGGTATGATAATATTTATAAAGTGTGTTTACAGCTTGGAGAGGAAAAATAAATGAATGCAGCTTTAAGGTGATGCATCTATTAAAAGGTAGTCTATATTAATAAATTATTTCTTATGTTGATAATAATACTTTTTTTTTACTAACATAGAAATCTGCTACAGGCCCAGACTTCGTTTACACGCAAGCAGTGTTAAGTCGGCAGAACGCAAGACTTCGGTAAGAAGAGGGGAGGCGGACTGTGTGATCACATTATCTGCCCAGAGAATTCATCTGTTTTTTCGGTGCTGCTTTTTACAATCCCCCAGATGAAAATGTAAAAAATGCACTTCAGGAACTGAATGAGTTCAAGAATGGACACATGCCTAAACAACCGAATAGATTTTTGCTGATTGAAGCTGATTGAACAGGTCAAAATAAGCCACCACCCAGGAATATACATTAAAAATGACATCATATATCAGCAATGTGTTGATTATGTGGTGATTACAAAGACAATCAAATCATTCCCCAACCAGAAGGCCTGGATGAATGTAGGGGTGAGGGCTCAATCCTTTCAAGCCTTTCGGTCAGGTGACAAGGAAGCATACAGCATCACCAGAGCAAGACTGAATGCAAACTGGCATGGTGTGTGCACGGCCCAGGACAGGAGTAGCGGGTGTTTAAAACCGCCCAGGACATCATTGGTACCCATCTACCGAGCGTCAGTGATATCGGTGAGGTGAGGTGCCTGCACAGAGCCCAACGTATATTAAAACACAATACCATTTGGGGTAGCAATGACTGAATTGAAACGGAATGTGAACTGATTTAGTTGCTTATTGACAATTCTCCAGAGCTCTAACGTGTGGTTCTTTAGGTCACAGTTTTGGTGGTTGTGTCACCTGCAGTGGAAGTCTGCAGACCCAGCTGCCAGGAGGATGTTGTTGGGATGCCAGTCCAGACTCATAACTGTGGAGCGAATGGCCTTCTTGATGTGCTTACTCAGCCACCTGAAAGGAAAGGAGAATTGTAAAAACCTGCAATTGAATGCAAATATGACACCTTGTGTGTCAGGTAAGAGGTAAGAGACATATCCGGGACGAACTGAAGCCACTTATTTTGAAGTGCAAATACTTACATTTAAGTACTTGGCGAAACCAAGTACCAATATGAGTACTTTATAACACTATTGCAGCTCGAAAAATAACTTTGAAAACATGTTTTATTTTCATCAGATGTTCCTCACTTTCTGACTGTAACAAATTAAATATACAACATAATGCTGTTGCTGACATTTTAACAGTCAACTTTGTGTTTCACTGATACAAACAGCATTGTTTGCAGTAGGGATATTAATATCTAACTTTTTAACTGTTCTATCAGTTAAACAGTTAAAACGTTACACCGTTGAAATACACTGGCGGAAACCACAGCTGACAATCTGACAGCTAAACTAATTGGGTTAGCATCAGGTTGTCCTTGCCTATTAGGCTCAACTGACGAGAGGTTAACCTCACATTGCCATAGTGATATTGGATAGTTTTACCCATAACGTTACAAGTACGACTATATGAGCACAGTATCGGACCTGATACCCATTACTGATATCAGTATCAGTGCATCCAAAAGACATTTTGTGTGAATATCAGGTTGTATTTTCTATATCTGCAGCACGATTCTTTAGTTGTGTTTTCACTAATTGCTGCATGTTACCATAGTTGTTTGACTTTCTAATCTCTTTGTCAGTTGACTAACATCTCCATTCTTAGGCTCCAACCCTAATGAAGTAAATAGTCTTGGCCTTCAAAACCTATATCACTTCAAGTCTTACAGGGTACAGGATCAAGTCAAAACAGGAATAGTCTTGACTTGATCCTGTGTCGCTCACCAGTCGTTCTCCTTCTCAAAGTAGCACACAGAGATGAGGCGAGCTCCGCTGCCCAGGGCGAACTTGTTTTCCAGTGGTGACCACTTCACACAGGTGGCTGCACGGTTGATGCGCACCAGGACTAGGGTGGGCTTCCACACTCCATCCTTCAGAGTCCACACGTAGGCATTGCGGTCAGAGGCACATGTTACGATGCGGTTGGACTCTGGGGCCCAGTCAATGCCTGTGGACATAGTTATGAAGCTCCAATTAAAGTGCCAAAGGATCAATGAACGATGCAATGCTTCCTACTAGGAAATATATTCCACCTTTACTTTCAAGTTATATCTTTTTCTCGTCAAAAAACACCATCAAAAAATAAATGCTAGATTGTGGATATTAATACCACCATATGGCCAAATAATCAAATTTGAACTCAAATGTATCGTTACTTAGTGCTTTGAGGTGGGGCAGTCTTTTATTGGAACTACCCAAACCTGAGGGAAAGTTCTACCATGAACCATGAACATAATACCCCTGCCCCCTGTTGGACCCCTTGGCCATGTGATGACAACTGAGCAAACTCCATTCACTGATCAAGACTGAGATTTGACTGAAAGAGCTAGCAGGTCTTGACCCACTCTTTGCCTTTCTTGAGTGAAGTCTATATTATCAAACAATTAATACCAAGATCAAGAATGAACAGTCACTCCCTAATTTTCAATTCGTTAAATTACAAAAAGACAGCAGACTCACAGTGAACTTGGCCCTGAGGCACTTGGCCCCATCTCACATTTTCTCACTCAAATGGATGTGGTCAAATAAGTCACATCCCATCTATCATTCAGTTGGCTGATATAAGTTACCGAACCTGTGACTCGTCCACTGTGCTCAGTCAGCTCGTGGATCTTGACCCACTCTTTTCCTTTCTTTTCATAGATGTTCACCACATTGTTGTTAGGACTCACTGCAATCTCTGCAAAGAAATATGTGTGCACAAAGGTTATGCATTTGAACCATTTTATGATTGTAATACAATAACACAGAAGTAGTGATTATGACATGGTCTTCATCTAATGAGTATGGATGTGCAATTGTCATTGTTATCAGTCTGTTGCAGTATGTGTGATGGAAAGGTACAGGGTTTGTCTTTTGAATATATACAGAAACATGCCATGGAAATATCACCTTTAGTTATAATGTGTGCAAAGTTAGTAGTGAGAAGATTATATAGAGGTCAAAGAGATCCTCTGAGGAGCATGAACGCATATTTAGTCAATTTAAGAGTAATCTGCCCAGTTTGATTTGAAATTGTGTTTTTGTAATTAGAGATATTGGTCTGAGAGAGGAATTCCTCCTCTGTTGCTCTCCCTGAGGTTTCCTCCTTTTTCCCTGCCATCAAAGGTTTTTTTGGGGGGGGGCGGGGTTTTTCCTTATCCCATGCAAGGGTCAAAGGACAGAGGATGTCGTATGTGTACAGATTGTAAAGCCCTCTGAGCAGATTTGTGATTTGTGATTTTGGGCTATACAAATAAATTCAATTAAATTGAATTAATAATGCATATGATAATATGTACGATATTGAAACTACTGATGATTATGTCTGTTTTTGAGAATTTCAATAGCAGTAACTCCTTGGAGTTCAATGTTTTCCTTCATGAAAACCATTCTATCCCAAAATGGAAAGGATGCATCTTCTGGGGAGCATGAACATACCAGGAATGTACTCAGTCTGCACATTAGATTATTAGATTAGATGAATGTGTTATAACTCTGGTGATCCTCTGTCTTTCCATCTAGATCCATCATCAGGTCAATATTTAAATTTGGTTTATGACCAAATAACTGCAAAGCTAAGGACCTTCCCTTGAGCCCTTCAATTCAATTGATTTTTTTTGTACGCCCAATATCACAAATCACATATTTGCCTCAGAGGGCTTGACAATCTGTACAACATACGCCATCCTCTGTTCTTGGAGCCTTATGTTGGATAAGGAAAAAACAGGAGCGAAAAAAAGGAAGACACCTCAGGGAGAGCAACAGAGGAGGGACTCCTATCCCAGGATGCGCAGGAGTGTAGTAAATGTCACGTGTACACTACAGAATGAACAACATAACAGAGTTACAACGTAGTCAATCCTTTTTGCCTTAAATGAATGAAAGCAGGATGTAAAGTGTGTACAACAAGTTCAAATCACTGCAGTGTTTATACCAAGTGCAAAAACAGCAGTAGACGTCCTGCAACTGAAGTGCAGTCAGATGCATGCAATAAAGCTCTTTGCGTCCATTTCCTGCTTTGATAATCAGATTTCCTGCGGTTCTCCATGCAACATTAATGCAATTAGAGAAGGGAGGAAATGTATCTACATTCTGAATTGCAAGTGTGGTCCCACCCTGTATTGAACCCATACATTATGGAGAATATTGAATACTGCACATATGTACATATGTATGTAAGTCTGTTTGCTGTTTCACCTACGGGTCCTGTCTTTGTTCCAGGTGTGGCAGGAGAGTGGCTCCAGGCCAAAACTGTAGAGCGACATGTCTGAACAGAGGCAGGCGAGGCTGCTGGAATGTAGATCTGCAGATGTGTTGCTGCAGGTCCCAGGATGACATCAGGGAGGGGGGCAGGGAGACATTTTGTAGAGCAGCATGACTTTACAGACAAAGCACTAGTGTGTTGTATTTGGCTTGTGAATTGATGTGAGCAGGGGATTATAAAGTTGGTGGTATTAGACTTTCATACTCCTATTTAATCATACCAATCTGGTGTCACCATGACACCAGATTGGTGTTACTTAGTGGATGGATACTTGGAATTTAGGTCCTAAGAAAGTAGGTACATCCGCTTTATGTGCAGACTTTCAGTATGCTTGTATGAGGTTACTTATGAGGACAATTTTCCCTTTTACTGATTGTTAGCTATGTGAGTAATGACTGTGAGATAAGAGTAGGCTACACCTTTATCAGGTGTGGTGCACACTGTACAAACACAATCTAACTGGTACGTGTGTATTTTTCTCTTCTCTCTAACGATAACCTGAAATCCAGAGATTTCGTCAAAATTCCTGGCTTAAAATAAAATAAAGCTAAAACAATGAATAAAGCAGCTACCTGCCGGACAAAATAACATTTACAGTTTGCAGTTAATTCCTCACAGTTTGAAAGGTTTTGAGTTTAAAATGATAGCTGACTCGTACATTTCACCTTTCCAATGACTTATCAAACAGACAGATTAGAGTGTCCGGAATGGAGGGAATAATGTGGTTCTTACAGTCATAGCTATATGGACCAGGCAGAAAGCATGAAGCACTTTCACAAGTGAGCAAAAACATAGCAAGCTGATTAGATGTGACAAAAACAAAGCGAGCTGAGGTCATTACTTACCTTTGGTCTGTATATTTGGTTAGGTTGAATGTGTGCTGGTGGTTAAAGGTGCAGGGCTGTATTCGTGGACTCTGGGCAGTCGACACGAATGAAGCGGTGCAGTCTGTCTGGATTAAGGAAGTGACTGTGTTATTACTGAAGGGAGGGAAGAAAGGTGGGTGTGTCTGCAAATAGCTGTTGAGCAAGCATCTTGTCTTGAGCAGGTTTGTTGTAACAAACCACAACAACTGAGAGATAGGTACGCTAAAATATTCACACCAAAACATACAAAAACAACCCCTGTTAGAAAGATGTATGCGTCATATATATGACACATCAAATATATATATAGCAAATGGGTTGTTTTTGTAAATATTTATATATATATATATACTATATATGTATTTATACAAAAAATATATTTACTCTATAAAACGGTTACAAAACAGTGACAAATGCAAAATGTAATCTTACAGAGATGATGTCTTCAAATAGCCCCTTTTTGTCCGACCAACAGTCCAAACCCAAAGACATTCTGAGCTGAGCTGACATGCTGGAAACAGTTGATACCTGTTTGTTTTTATTATTATTATTAATATTATTATTGAAACCAAGCAATTATCAACATAGCAGACCATTTATTTTCTGTCAGTTGACTAATCAATTCTTTAACTGATTGTTAAAGCCTAACACAGAAAGTTGTTTTCAGTTTTAGTATACTAACCAAATTAAAGGTCCTGCCATAGTTGTATGGGATGCGTACTGGTATACAATTTGTTGTTAATAATTTAATTTCTGTGAAGACAAGGAGTTTCTAAATTAGATATACTATTTTTTGAGGGGACCCTTTTATTCTGAAAAAACTCCAGGCGGAAATGGTGGTTTTCTGCTGGCAAGAAGAAAAACAACCAGGACACACGTCGTTTCATATTTGGTGAGGACTTTCATGTAGTTTGCGGTGTGAATAATTAGTTGTCACACTTTTATAGTTGTATTTGTTCAAAGCTTGTCACTTCTTAGGGTTTGCTTTTGCCATTGTTTTGATATGGGACAGCGGGTGCTAATGGTTAGCTCGCTAAGCTAATTTAAGTGGTTACTTTTCAAGATGGCGAATCATAAGAAATCCTAAAGTGTAATAACAGCAACTGTATTGGTATCACATTGACTGACGTTTCATTTGCAGCCAAGAAGCGTCCTTTGTTAACTTTGCTCTAACGTTACGCAGAAATTAAGCTTTATGAAAGTAACGTTAGCTAAGTTAACTAACGTTAGTGTTGGTTAGCTAGCTGTTTAGCACGTTACATTTAACGCACGCTAACCTGCTCAACAACATTCCTTTCATAGAAATATGTATGACGTAACTTATTGTGTAAGATACATTTCCGTGTTGCTGCTTAAGTCCTTTGTGCCATGCCCACTGCTCCAGTAAAGTACAGTGCATAGAGGAGTTTACCACATTTAAAGTTACTGAAATTATGTTCAACCAACTCTCACACACTGTTCATTTTGGGGCCTCAGGAGGTATGGGGCCCCTGAGCAGTTGCCAGCTTTGCTTGGTTGCCAATCAAGCCTTGAATGTTTGGCAGTGTCAAATAATTGTTGTGAATAGGGATCAACCGATATGGTTTTACCAGAGCCAATACCAATTATTATTAATTAAGCAGGCGGTTTTTGGAACTGAGATGCATTGGCAGTAGAAATGAATATACAAAAATGTTGATGTGTCTGGATCCTCACTGCACTCCATTGGTATACACTGTTATAATCTGGTCATGGGTCACATCTGTGGCCCACATCCAAGAGCTGTCCTACTTCGTCTCCCTGCAGTTCTCGTAGTCATATAACTGGATTTAACGTACATTCAGTTCCTACTGTTTTTCTTTTGTGAGTTTTTAGCTACCAAGGCAGAACGTTGAGATGCCTTCAGATGATAAGAAATGTGCTTCTCCCTCACCGGGAGGTAGGACTCAGAGCATAGTGCAGCCACAATGTAGAGGCAAAGCACAGCGCAAGTAACCGTCATCAAAACGTGGCTACGTCACATAAAGCTATTATCTCATTGGTTGCGCTTTAAAAGGTCAGCTGCAACTGATGTCAATGTTGCAATGATTTCAAATTTCAGCACAGTACTTGGTGGTGGGTCACGTCAAGGGTAGGGTTGGTTACCGAAACCCGGTGCCAATATAGCACCGGTTCCTATACGACCGGTATCTACCGGACCGAAACGCAACGCACATTTCGGTGCTTCCTTTCGATGCCTGAGCCGATTGAAATACTTTTTTTACACTACTCTGATGACTCCGTCCTGGCAGCCTCGGTCCTCCGCTCCTCACTCATAGTATTATTACAACCGGACGAGCCGTGCGCGCTTAGACACAAACCCCTCCATCATTCTGGCGAAGCTTCGGCCATGATTTATAAAAAAACAAACAAACAAAAAAAAAACGAGATCTGTCAAACGGCTGGCAGGCTACTGACTTCCTCCATCGACATCCGGGTACTTAGCGCTGCCGCTAATAACAAGCACAACATCCACAACAAGCACGCGAAACCTCCTCCTTCTTCTTCTTCTTCTTCTTCTTTGAGGTGTAGTGGTGGTTGGCAAACGATGAATTGGCGCATTAGCGCCACCAACTGGTAAAATAAAATGGGTCAGGACAGGTGTCGTATTTTGCCAGAGAAGGCAAATATGCTCATATTTCTGCAAAAGAATTGCTGAAGTTTGAAGCTGTAGTGTGTGTACAGACTGTGTGTGTGTGTGTTTTGTATTTATTTATATGTATTTAAGTATACTGTAAACTGTTAACAGTTAATATATTGTTCATAGTTTGAAGTTGAAACGTTTGAAGCCAAGTGTTTTGTATTTATTTATATTTATAGTATACTTTAAACAGTTAATATGTTCAATTTGAAGAAAAAAGTATCGGTTCAGGCACCGTTTAGGCACCGGTATCGTTTTAAAAGTATCGTTTTAGCACTGGTATCGGAAAAAACCCAAACGATACCCATCCCTAGTCAAGGGTAGCACTTCTGCCTAGTTTGGCTTCACCGCTCTCCCCATAGGAAAACAATGGCACAGCCAGGGCAGAGCGATGGTACCGCTGATCATGTGTGGGCAGCTTTACCAGCAGAAACACTGGTTGTTTTTGCAACTTCAGCATTTATGCTTTAGGATTGCGATGCGTATTGCAACGTCAGCTAGGCCTATATCTGCTGCCTTATGTTTGACACACCGTTCTGCTCGCTCACCCAAGCTGCTCCAGTTTGCCTTTTGTGTTTGCCTGTCACCGTAGCCTTCAGTAGTGTTGGTAGTAGGGATGTACGTTTGAACAGAAGTTTAAAGTACTCTAAAAGTAAGAAAAGACTCGAAATTCCAATCATGATTTCATTTATTAGGTTAAGCATTGTGTATAAGAGCCATTTCAAATTTTTAATCACATTTTTCAATAACCACATAATGTTTCAAATGCCGCTGAAATCAGTATGTCTTCAGTGTCGGCTCTGGTTACCAAGTTAGGAATGCCCCTCACAAACCAGGTGTGTGGTGTATTAAATAAGTTTTATCAACTTCCACCTTCTCTTCCCCCTCCCTCTCTCTAACACACACACACACTGTGAGCGACGTTGTCTCTGTAATGTTAATTTGTTGCAGTTCTCAGTCCAAAAGTCAAAATGTATTGAAAAAGATTGAATTTCCAAAATTCACATTTTTATCTTACAAAATTGTCTCCTTTAATCCATATTTGTTGGTGCTTAGCCTTTCAAAAATAACATTTTCACTGCTGTGTTACATTTACACAACCACAATAACAATAAATCTATTTAATTCATTTTTTTTAAGAGTGATGATCTCATAAATTATGCCTATAGAAGCTTTGAATATAACAGTAAAATGTCATGATGGTTGCTTTGTCCTCTTCATACTTGATATGCTATTTGTAACTTTCAATCCTAGGTAACATTTAACTTAAGCTGCACATCATTTCAGCATGGCACAAGACAGCTTCCTGATTTGTCGGTGTGTTTCCATCTCATCTCCCTTCAGGTCACAAGACAAAGATGGCATCGAGCAGTACAAGCAGGGAGGGGGAGCTGAGTGTTCAACAGTGTGAGGACTATATCCAGCAACACGGCATCCAGGCTGTGATGAAGGAATGCATCGTCAAGCTGTGTATGACCCGGCCAGACCGGCCCATTGCCTTTATCAGGGACTACTTCGAAAAACTGGCAAAGGTGCATACTGACACATGTGACAGCATGTCTCGTTGAGCAAACCTTAAGCACATCTGGGCTCAGTGGTAGAGCGGGTCGTCCTTCAATCAGAGGATCGGCAGTTCGATCCCCAGCTCCACTAGTCCATGTCTATGTGTCTTTGGGCAAGACACTCAACCCCAAATTACTCCCAGAGCTGTTTCTACGGTGTATGAATGTTGTATGAATATGAGATAGTTGTGATGCATGGTAGCCCTGTCATCAATGTATGAATGGATGTGAATGATGACATGTAGTGTTACAGAGCTTTGAGTGGTCTGAAGACTAGAAAAGAGAGAAACAAGTCCAGTCCATTTACCATTTAACTGACCTATGTCAATTGAGCTTGTTTGATTTACTGCAGTATAAGCAGTCTATTTTCTTGAGTATCACTGGTGTGGTTTTGTGAACCTGTTGTCATGCAGGAGGACGACGGGTTTATTTCACCCATGAACTCTCCAACCATGAACCCTGTGGTGAGGCCTCGGAACCGGAGAGGAGCCATCAGTGCGGAGGTGTACACTGAGGAAGACACTGCCTCCTATGTCAGAAAGGTCTGTTGTCTTGTCTTCATGTTTTCATTCACACACCTTCATACTGTCTTTAAAGCTGCACAGATCAATAATCAACCTATTAACTACCAACTCCCGTGGATCGGGCAGGTCGGGTTTTAAAATGAACATTCTGATTAATAGTGGATGGGTTGCAGGCAAGTGAAATAATACTTATTATAATTATTAATGTGGAAAATATGAATTACACTCTCTAAAATGTGAATTTTACCTTCGTTCTATTGTAAAAAGCAAATGAAACTGGATTGTATTTTGTACAAAGTCCAGTGTTCATCTGTAAGGGGGCCTTAGTCTCCTCAAGGTAAGAGAGCTCTTGCCCCCGGATCAGCTGTACCGTCAGCTAGTAAAATACATTTGCATAACATACCTTCTACGAGCTAATGTTAGATGTTCAGTATTATGTGAGTTACTAACTTGGTTGGCTCTCATTATTTTTGATGCTCTGTTTATGTATCTTATATGATGTTGCAGAGTGATTATAGTGCTGAGACATCAGCCACACAGGGTTCTTCCTCCAGCGGTAGCCCTTTAGAGCAGGTCCATCCTGGAGTACTTCCAGTCCTCTTACACCTATTGCACACACACACACAAATCCGTTGATATCCGGCTGTTGGGGAGGAAGAAGTGATACGGCCGTGGCTAGTGTATTAAGTTATCCTGGCTTTTGCCCCCCTAAGCAGGCTGAGACGGTCTTGCGTGTAGATTTTGAGGGGTACGTTTGTTACCTAGGTCAGAGGTCACTGAACAAGCCGTCTTCCAGTGCTTCACTCACACTGTGAGGGGGTATCGGTTACGCAGCTAGGCTGCACACCTTTCCACTGAAAATAGCGATATGGGGCACTGACTTGAATGAATTTACTGTTTATCTGACCACAATTGGAACAGGAATTATCTGGCTAGCACAGTCCGCGGAGAGCACCCGGCCACTAGGAGACTACTTCACTGGGAGGAGAGTGAGAGCAGCTCCAGAGATGGACCTTCCATGGGTGTGCTAGCTTGTGCTGTTGGGTTGGTCTGCATCTGTGAGAAAGCCACGCGCCATTCATTTAAATGTAACTGATGGAAATAAAGATAGCTGGTAAATACATTTGGCATAAGGAATTAAAAGTCCCCTGAAAAAAAATAAAAGCAGTCCTTTTGAGAAATGTCCTTTTTAAAATATAAACATATATACAGTGGGTACGGAAAGTATTCAGACCCCTTTCAATTTTTCACTCTGTTTCATTGCAGCCATTTGCTAAAATCAAAAAAGTTCATTTTATTT